ATATATATATATATATATATATATATATATATATATATATATATATATATATATATATATATAGTGTGGTTTCTGTTTTCCGTTTCTGGTTGTAGCTGAAGCCAAAGGGGGTTAGAATGAATAAACTCATGGCTTACGTTGTGAATTGCAAAAGATGAATGTTCTGGTTGTATTTCATGGCGGAGTTTCGATACAAGAAAAACGAAATTTTGTTGTTTTTCTTGTGTTGCTTCTTTGTTTATAGCTGGGTTTCTGATTTGTACTTTAAGACTTTCAGAAGAAATCTCCACATTCACATCCGATGGTTGCAAAAATTTCACAAAAAATGTTATGAAGATCTTCTCCGCGTTCTGCATCCATTCATATCTGCGGTGTACGTACACCTCAGAAAATTCAAGGAAAGCATTCAGACACCGGAAACAAGAGGCTGATAGAAAAGAGTTTTTCTCGTGAAACAACAAACACTTTTATAATTTCTTTTATTTTTAAGTAAACTTTATAACTTACCGAGGCGTGAAGGAAGCAGACGCCCCTATATCGCTTGCATCGCCAGGCTTCTCCATGGTGGTGGCTGATGAGCCGTGAGTGTAAGGATTACTTCTTTGACCTTCTTTCTCTTTTTCATGCAGTAAATAAAACAAATAAAATTCTACAAAATAAACAAAATATTCAAATCCACTACTCTAAACCGTACACAACAACCACCGCGCTCATGCAGCTTCGTCAGTCGCTAGGCGAACGCATGCAGTGCAAACACGACACGAAAGCAAAAGAACAAAATCTTGTAAATCAGAAATAACTCAACACTTCTTTTTTTCTAGTTTTAGTTTGCAACTTTAACCGATGATCGCATAGACATGCACCACCAGTCGAGTTATCTTGGGGCTGCTTCAGTCTCAGGGGCCCCCTCTGTTCTTTGTGGTTTTCGTGCATGCAGAAACAGACTTTTATATGAACAACTAAAGATAGAATACTCGGTGTGTATTTGTTTTATTTATTTGTACACAAATACTTTTATACATTATACCTTTCATATCTAAAAATTAAAACATAGCCCTGAATACAGCAGCTCTAAGAGAAAGCTGCACTCGGCCGTCTTAATTTCGTGTGTATGTACAGTAATCTATCTTAGTATAGTGCCGTTTGTATTTTCAAGAAAATAAAAATAAAAAACTCTATAATTCAATCTAAATACAAAAGTAGACATAATATCCCCTCCTGTACTGCTACATACACACGCTCTAGTTTTATTTCTTTCGTCAGCGAGGCGAAATAAATTCATAGATAAAATACTAAATATAATATTAAATATACTACATGAGTCAGATAGAAACAGTTAATATAATATTAAATATACTATATTAGTCAGATCGCAAAACTATGGAAAACCACCAGCGAAGGCAACCCGAGCAACCAGCAAAAGTGTAACGAGAAATTATAAATGGTGTAATGGTGCTTATCATTAAATATATATATATATATATATATATATATATATGTCATCATGCGTGTTCAGTTCCCCTGCCGGTTGGGGGGATAGATACTTCAGGTGTATAGACACCACAAGAAAAGTTAGGCAAAGAACGTTATTTCAGAGAGAAAAAGAAGCAGAAATACAGACAAAAGAAAAAGAAGAAGAAATAAAAGAGGGAAACCACGAAAGGAACAAATACAACAAAAATAAAAAGTGTAGAGATGAAACGCTCTTTACTTTTTTCGTTGCTGCATGCCAAATATAAAACCCCAAAAGCCAATACCCTCCGTACACCGCACGAAAAATGAAATAAATATCAGCACAAGTGCTGATTGCAGCAACAGCAGCAGCAACAGCAGCAGCCACAGCGAAAAGAAGCGCAGCAGCAGCAGCAGCTGCTGCTGCTGCTGCTGCTGTTTCAGCTGCAGCACTGAGACCTTTTGGTGCGTGTCAGTGCAACGATGGCACATCTCAGGTGTACATACACCTCAGAGCTGCGCATACACCTCAGAGCTGCCCATACACCTCAGAGCTGCCCGTGCACCGCAGAGCTGCCTATACACCTGAGAGCTGCCTATACACCTGAGAGCTGCCTATACACCTCAGAGGTCTGTGTAGGGCAGGTCTGTTGCAGGCAAATTTGACTTCACTTCTGCCATTCTCGTGTTTGTTATTTGGCCGCCGCGGCAGACGATCCGCTGCAGAGCTGAAACAACCACAACACACCCCTTTTGTTTCGGGTGTATGTGCACCTCA